AAACAAGGAAGTTTTTGTAACAAAAAAAATCCCCCACACACTTGTCACACCAACAATCTAAACTTAGAAGGAATTTTCAATTTCCAAATCAAGTAAGAACCTGAAGAAGATTATCAAGGACCTCATGCACAAAAGTCCAATGCTGCAAGCAAAAGTCCCTGACTGAAAATTTCCTGAAAGAGAGAGGGTCCAAAATAACTCGCCCTTCTGTCTACTCATAAAAATATGAGAATTAAGAATACCTCAAGCATCACCCTCAGAAAATAAATGGTTAACCAAGGTAGAGTTCCAGTAACCCGGTGGATCAACCAAATTTTTAACTTTAACAGAAAGAGATCTCCTAGTTGGTGGGCCTAAAGGTGCTTTGAAACCATATGAATGATTAATCCAGGGAAGAGCCCAAATACTCAATTCAGACTGTCTAAGAACATGGCATCCCAAGTGAGGAAATAAACTAATCAGGGATTTGGCAATAGATTTCCACAGATAAAAGTAGTAGTTGGAATTCAACTAGGAATTTTGTCATTGTTAGTCAGATATTTAGCACTTAACAGTCGTACCCACAATTCAGAACTCTCATTCAAAAAACGCCAAGCCAGTTTACACTTTACAGAGAAGAGATGGGTTAATAATAACTTCAGCCTTCCTAAAACCTAGACACATAACCTCTTGGGAGCACATGAACCATCCCAACTAACCCATTTCAGAGATTTTGCTTTATTAAGTTGATTCCACCGAAAACCCCTCTGAACTTCAATCTCAGCTCAAGTTTTTTTGGGAAATTGAACACCACCCATACAGTTCAGTTTGCAAAACAGACTTAACAAGAACTTGCCTACAAGCATATGACAAAGAAGTAGCTTTCCAGTTGGCTAGATTAGACTTCATTTTCTCCAGAATAAACTCCATACCACTTGTTTATAAATTAATAAACCACTCAAATTGAATCTTCAAGATCTAGGTGACAGTTGGAAATCTGAAAAATTGTCACTTGTGTCAGAAACAAATTAGAGAAGTGGTTATCTTTCAACCCATTTCGTTATTTTTCTCTAATTAAAGGTATCTTTATTTTCTGTAATAGATCTTTGAAGTTTGAACCAATGGGTTGAATATGCCAGACCTACTGTCCTATGTTAGCTGGTTAGTTGGTGTTTGCAGGGACTCTGGGGACCATATCAATTACTGGGTTATTGTGCATTAATGGGTGATTGAATCATCACTTAATTAGTTATGCACATAAATGTTTCCTTTATCCTTTAATTTGATTAGGCTAAAGGTGGAGGTGAGGCCGTTGGGTGTCTAAAAAGGCGAGGCGTAAAGTGTATTATATGCATGCATATATTAATATATATGTATATAATTTTAAATTTGTATGCACATATAAATATATATTATGTATGTTGGAGTAGAATTTATTTCTTATTGGCAATATATGTCTTCTTTTTATTACTTATATTTTTAACTTGAACCCAATGCTTTAGAAATTTTGTTGTGTTTTATTGTTTGTCTATAACCTTTTCTGTCTAAATTAGATAATCTTGGACAGTTGGACCTAATTTTCACACACACACACATACATGCATATATCATCATCATCATCTAAGCCTTCTTCCAACTACATGGGTCTGCTACATTAGAAAACATGATATTCTCAAATGTGATAAATTAAGAGTTCAAGACAGAATGATACATTAAACTAATTATATAAAGAGAAAAAACAAATTATATATATATATATATATATGTGTGTGTGTATGTATGTATGTATGTATAGGTTAAAAAGTTACTATGCAAGATTTTTTAATTTAAACTGTCTATTTTAATTGTAACCAACTAAATAAAGTTCTATTTAACAATAGAAAACATCATTTATCAGTATTTTTATTTTTGTTTTTTTCCAAAATTTTAAGCGCTGTCTTGGTGAGGTGTTCACCTCACTAAATTGAAGGCAGAAGCCTCTAGCTGCAGTCAAAAGGCACTGAGGCCAGGCGTCTTGGCTCTGCCTCGCCTCGGCACCTTTTAATACCATGGTTCAAAGAGACGAAACTGCAATAGAGAACAAATCTAACATAATAGTTTAAATAGACTTAAGCTAGATATAGACTACGCAGATATACACCCTTACCCAACCCAGTGAAATCTGATTAGTTTTCAGAGGTATGTTTTGCTTGCTTATTCGAATATAAATCCTTGCTACACGCTACAGTTTCCATGTAACAGGTTTGACCTTTTAAGAATATTATTTGATAGAAATGCCCTTCATGATTTCAACCATGTTTAAAGAAAAGAAACTGCAATATAGCCACTTGGATCAACAAATCCAACATAATATTCTAATCTGACTTTAGTTAGATACAGACTATTCAGACATAAGCTCTTACCTAGTAAAGATCTGATTGGATTTCAGAGGTATATGGTTTTTGCTAGCTCTCTTGTTTGTTGGTTTTAAAGTTAATCGTTGTTTCACCAAAGGCTTAAAGCAAATGATCCATCTATTTCTTCTTAAGTTCTTATGATGTCAAATTGTCCGTATGCATGAGCTTATATATTATATCGATATTTTATCAGCATGGAATAGGTTTGAGAGGCTTGCTTTTCCCTGTATTGAACGGCTTGCGATACTTCCTTTTGAAGCAATAATGCATACTAGCAAGAAAATAATGGTGCATCACCCGAATTCAGCGCACCCTGAAAGACAATGGCATACCTTGGGTGTTGCTTGCTAGAATTTCTTGAGTAGGAGACATCTTTCCATTTACGTGACTTAACAAAAGAAGATAATTAGACAAGGTGGTTGGAATTCGGAAGTCATTTCCAAGCATTGAAGCAACACTCTCTAGTTTCTATCAATTAGACCGAAAACCCACAGAATTGCACCCTGAAAGGTTTTTAATCTCCCTTGCTACACGCTATGACGCTACAGTTTGCATTATATTATTTCTGCTGCTGCTGCTATCAGATGTTCAACTGTATTGCATCAGAAGGGCCGATAATCTCCAATAGTGACATGGCTGATGATGAGATCATAACTCATGGGTCTTCACCGTTTGGTGGGCTGCTTAGTTGTCGAATACATCAAGGTCGTCCAGTAATACGTATCTTCACTACAGCTACAGGCAAGCAGAAGTAAAAGCGGCTGGTAGAGCTAGGGAATAAGATGCAGAATGCAGATCTCTTAATTGGGCAACCTGTCATTGAGAGATGCTTTCGATTTTGTAATCCATTTGGAATTTTCTGGTTGGAGTTGCCGGCTAAAGGCTGAGGATGGATTAGTATTGAATACGTTGGGACCCTTGTTCCTTCATATGCATAACAAAACAGTCAGTCCGGCTTGGGTCTTGTCTGTGCTTTGTACTGAAAATCAGCGTCAATGGATTATTATTGAACTTTGCTCATCTATTGATCTTTTGATTTTCTTCTAAAATCGTTCATCTCATCTCTGATTACGGTGATTGTTTGTGCTTTTATAATTCAAAGATTCATCTTCATCGTTAAACCTGGCAATTTTTCAAAATTAATAGAGGGGTTTGCATTGTACAGAGAGCTCTGAGGATCTGAACCCCTGAGAGACTGCACTCCAAGGACATACAAATCCATGGGGATAAGTGGATCATCCAACTAATATCCACCCACAGGAACAGCCATCTCCCGGCCTTGCATGAAAGCATCCACGGCTCCTACCATGTCACAGTTAGAAAAGTCTTATTCTTTATCATACTATGAAAATTTGAAATTTAGACCAGCAGAAAGAAAAACAAGAGAAAGAGATTCACGGCTGCATCAACACCGCTGTAGGCCGTTCCACTATTCTATGTATGGCTATGATTCTAAAAACTGGTCTTTCTTGTCAAAGAGTCAAAAAAAGACTGAATATGCAAATAACAACAAACCGTAATACATTATTGATTCATTAACACATCATGCGGTCCTGAGCAATCTCCCCTGCCTCCACCTCTTCCTCCTCCACACAATAATGATGTAAAATAAAAATCAATAAAATATTTTGAGTGGATAGACTTAAAAAGTGCAAACATTTTCCGCATTCAGATAAAAAAAGAAGGGAAAAGAAACAAGGAAAGTAGAACCCGTTAATTTATTAGATGTTGATGATGATGACCACTAATTTGTTTAGAAGAACACCCAGAATAAGACAGACCACCGGCCTCTCAATCTTTTACGTATAAAAATATAACTATAGGAATCTCTCTYTCTCTCTCTGTCTCTCTGACTAATAATCTAAACCGTGAAGTTGATTCTTCTCTTAATAACATATTTGATCGCAAGCTTCATCTATTTTCCGTTCACCTTGGCTTTTGTGGCCAATTTGATGCCCCCCTCTTCTCCACAGAGGTAATATTTTAAAAACAAAGTTCTCTTTTTTTCCCTTTTATTTTTGGGTATTCAAAGAACTATAGATTGATGTACATAAAGTTTCAATTAAGATAATACCTGTTAGTGGCTCTTATGGATTCACGGGGTTTCAGAGGTTCAGTCAGACCCCAAACCCGAGGACCAAAGCAACTTGTACGTGAATATGCACAAGTTGTCTATCCTCCGTGACTACCAACAGTAAAGAATAACTTGGGGGATGAGCTACCAATGAGTCTCTTAAATGCACCCATTCTCTGTGCCGCAAAGTAATTTTAAAGAATAATAATAAGAAGAAAATAAGATGAATTTTGACACTATAATGAAAATATAAACACTATAACTATTGAGAGCACATTTATATCTTTAATCACTCCAATATATGACTGTATCACACGCAACGAATTCTATCATCTGGGAATGAATTAGCTACATTTTTCTGTTTGCAGTAGTCATCTTGGGCTCTCTATTCTCTTATGTGGTCAATTCTCTACTCCACCTTTTTCCCCTTTCTTTGGGATGGGGGAGTCGGGGAGAGGATTGAGACTTTTAGATAGTGGGTCTCTGCTACAATACTCGTTTGTTTTGTTTGAAAATCATGGATTCAGGAGTTGGGCCCAGTCAAATATATATGCCTACCAARGAGAAATCATGAATGTATGTACATATGTACATGTTGATGTGCTTTACATAAATGAAAAGGAACAAAATTGGGGAAATTTTTGGAATAAGACAACTCCCATTGTCATATACATGACATTTGTGTAGAGAATAGTGAAATTACAATAAAATTAACCCCCATGGAAAAAAAAAAAAATCAAAAACCCATGAAGATGGGAAAAAAATTTAGACATGGGTGGTCGTTCATCATCACAACTAAACATATATATAAATCCATATGCATGCATCAATCATCATCATCCAATGCATGCATGAATGCCTTCTCTCCTTCTAAGTATTGATACTATTTACACCGGTACAAAAGAGGGTACAAACGGAGTCGGTTCATAGAAGAAGGGTGCCGCCGGATGTTGCCAGCTCTTGACAGTGGGCCTCTCGGCCTCCGACGTCTGCCGTTCTTGTTGCCTTGGTTCCTCCCTAGAAGAAGATGATGATGATGATGATGATGATGACGACGACGATGATGGTGATTTCAACGTCTCCACCGTCCGATCCTCTGGATCAGGCGACGCGGGTGACAATACCAACGGTGAAAGAAGAGGGATCGCTACCTTCCACCCCGCAGCGAACTCCGACGCTGGGCTCACCTGTATGGACGCCGGCGCTCTACTCTGTAATCTCGTGGGCGTTCTCCGGCGGTTCCCCGTGCCGGAGCTTCTCCCTTGTGTCTCTGCCATAGAATCTAGGCAATATCGAATTCGAGAGGGATGATTCGCTGAATTGATCGAAAGAATCTAGAGATCAAGAAATTATGATTTTGGCTTCTGAGATTGATTTTTGTGTGAACAGAAAAGATTGCTCCTTTTATAGGAAGAAAAATAGAAGGACGGCCAGAATAAGGTTTGGACGTTCAGGGTTCCAGAAACGGTCAAAACTCAACCAAGCCGCTATTTCGGCTACTCCTCACATTTTTCTTAATTGACTGAACTAACCCTGCCCTTGTCATTTTCATATCTGACTCCAAAATTAGGGCATTCTTGTCAATTTGAACCGGAAGCGGAGCCTTCAGCTGATGAGTCGAGCCGAGAGGGGTAAAGTGGGCACCACAAACCGTCAAAAAGGGGGTTCGGACCGTTCGGTTCGGTACGTCTTTGACGGCGTAGAGCAACGGTGACCGACTGACCGTTAAACGACCCTCTCCAAAGGAAAACCGTGTTCGGTGTTCGCGTTAATGGTTAATCCTTAATACCGCTGGTATTTGACTGAATGAATTAACGACAAGAACCATAAGCTATTTGACGGGCGTTGGACGCCGTTACTGATGATGTCATTGAAAATTTTAGACCACACACGTGCTCTTGACCACATTCTACGCCATGCAGAATGGACGTGGCAGATGAGGACTGCTTGCCTTTTTGGTTGTCGATGTTTCTGTTTTTTCCTGGAATATCTGACAAATGGTGAGATCAAACGGTTGGTACATAGCCACGTCGACAATGAGTTTTGAGATCTCTGACAGGTCGAAGATGTGGTTGGACCGGGCCCAAGGGCCAGGCTGGATTAATGTTTTGTTGTCGTCTTTCGATTTTTTTCTTTTTTGTTGGTATCTATTCAGAATATACCAGCTTTTTTTAAAGAGTTTCCCACAAAGGCAAGAGCCAAGAGCCAAGCCAGTCAACATTCCAACAAGAAGATTTTTTTTTTAATAGAAAGATGTAGACTTGTGTTTGGGCTTGGGCCAGCACTAATTTGAAACTTTTCTTATGAGATACCTTGACAAAAGAAAACTTATTTACGATGGGCCCCTAATGATATTGCCATTTGTAACAAGTAACCCCAACTTTTGGGCCCAACAAAGGCCCCACGTTCATCTGTGAACAGTCTTTTTTTTTTTTTTTATGTAGGGCTCATGAGGGATCGTATCATGCCATCATGGACATGGAACAAGTCTAGCCCTAAAGTTGGGACAGGCCGGCAAAACCAACCTACTGCAAAAGTATGCAACTAACTACTCCTTGTGGACAAAATTGTGTGTGTTTAGAATTTGCTTTTCGTTGATTGTTAACAATTGCAAAAAGAAAAAGTATTTGTAAATCTTTGCTCAGTCACCATTGATAAAGAATCTAACCTGTAAATGTAGAAAACCAAAGACATATCAAAGATTTACTTTTCCTAGTAGATGGCTTAGAAGAAATTCACATGGTTCATAATTTTCTTACTTTGAATAATTTATGACCGTTATTGGGTTGCATTTATTTTGCAAATAAAAAGAGAGTAAATTCTGATTTATTTTTGCGTCAGATTTTACTTTGCTCTGCTTCATGCTTTACCTCACTTGAATGAATAAAAATCGGTAAAAGCCTAAAAGCAAAAGTATGTCAGAATTTGCGTTCAATTCACTTGCACATAGGGGTGTTAATGTGAATCCATTACAAATGGTGTACGGAAAGAGCCCTTAGAATTCACTAAATGGAATCTTTGGGCTCTTTTCCATTCATCTTCATATGTCCAACGTTCAATGTTAAATGTAAAAACCAACATGTAAAACCCAATGGGAGATGCATGTATAAAAACTAAAGTGTAAAACCCAATATTAAATATAAAAAATCAATATGTAAAATCCAATAGAAAATGCATGTGTAAAAACCAAAATGTAAAACCCAATCTCATCTTATTGAACCACCATTTTTGTGAAAAAACCAATGTGTGATATTCATGAGCATTTGCTAATTACAAAAGTGATATTATTTACTTCCTTAAATTTTTTACTAATTACAAAAGTGTCATTATTTATCTCCTTGAACTTTTTATTAATTACAAAAGTGCATCGAAAACTGTTTTTGCCTTTTTTTACTTGTGCATAATGACATTAAGTTTTCATGTAATTACAAGAGTGCTGTTAACATGTAATTACAATATTGCCACAAAATTTTTATTACTCTCTTTATACTTTTTATTTATTACCTCTCTCTCTCTCTCTCTCTCTCTCTAGGGTTAATGGTTTGGGTTGACCTGATGGACCCAAACCAGTTTGGTCAATTCAGATTCAGTTCTTGATATATTACCCCCTATTCTTACCTAGTCGGAGCCTATTCCCCCAGTCATGAATTATAAATATATTGTTTATATTGCATTTTCATAAATTTGTTATATTATTTATTTTTTTATAAAAAACATGTATATATGATGGAAATAGTTGAAAAGATACTTGTAGTTTTTTTTCTTTATTTAAATTGTTATATTTTAATAATTTATTAATTTTATAAAATAAAATCGGATTGGATCAGATTTAAAAATCCAACTTCCTCATTGGATTCGAATTCAAACCCATGTTTTATCATATCCAATCAGATCTTCAGATTGGATCTACAATTAATAGTGTCAGATCGAATTTGGATATACCCCTTATTCGAATCCGATCCGATCCATCTGCATCCCTAGTCAATGGGTCGGGTTGAACTTGATGGGCGTAAACCGATTGGGTCAGTTCAATTTTCGGTTCATGATATATTGTTCCAATTTTTATCGGGTCATAGCCAGTTCCACCCAGTCACAAATTAATTTGGAGCCGAGTCTAAAATTATATACATTGAATTGGAAATTTGTGAGTCTAATGTGAGCTTAGGCTGAGCTATAATATTGGGACAAAACTTGGGCTAAAAATTTGTAGGGCTAGGCCCAAACCAAGTGTAAAGACAAAACATAGGACTAAGCCTATAATTTTTTAGCCAAGCTATGCCTTTTCATCTACACCTCTTTGACATCTCAATCGAAATCCATGGAACGAAAGCAAATTAATATTTTAAAACATTTTCTCTTTTCTCAATCTCTCTCCAAGAATTCAACCAGTTTCTCCCATCCCTCCCCCAATTCCCTCAACCCCTCTAATAGTATATACTTGCTAAAATGTCTTAATTAAGTGTATTTTTTTAAGATTTTATTAATTATTTTAAAGTTATTATTTGTAATTGTAAAATTATTTGTTCTAACATTTGAATAATTAATGTAATTTAAGTATTTAATCATATTAATTAAGTTAATAAATTAATTGATTTACCATAGTTAAATTAGCTAATTAAGTAACACTAAATTAATTTTCTTCATTTATTCAAATAGTTAACATTAAATCTGCCTATATGAATAAAACTATTAAATGTGTTGTTGTAGTTGCAAGTGCACTCCAGTAGTTTCTTTTAAATCAAATTAATTCTAATCCAAATCTGATCCATTGATCTATATTCGTATCTTCTATCAATGGACTAGATATTGACTCAATCCAACTCAATCCAATACAAATTCATTACAAATGAATCGGGTCTAATCCAATCCAATAAATACTTTAGACCATTAAGTCTGAACTGGTCCAATTCAATGTGTCTTATTTGGTCTGTCCAATCCATCTAAATTGATTTTGATTTGAATGAAGTACAATTCAAAACCAAAACCACTACATTGACACCCCTATTTGCACAGAAGTTGCACTCTCTTAATTTTGCATTAATACAAATGAAGTTACATCATAAACAAACATTTTTTGGGTATATTAAACAGACCAAGTCTTAATTACAGCGTATCGGTAGCCAACCGTAATTCTTGGTCCAACAAAGATCTGCATCTCCCTCTCTAGAACTCTCTTTTTTTTTCGTAACAACTCTCTCGAACAGCCTAGAACAGTCCGTCAGTGTTTGCCTAGATTCAAAATATTGGGATTTTCATTTGGAAAAGTTTTATTGGGAGGTCACAGGGAAATGCTGCAACAGTAGTCATAGTAGTTATGACTTACAGCCACACCCAGGACCAAGGAAAATTGGAAATGGACTAAGAAACTCTAAAAGGGCATTCTTAACCCAAGTTTGTGATAGGTCGGCAGGAGTTTATCTTCGCTCATTTTATAAAGTACGCAAGTATCCTTCAATTTCTCTGCTGATGGACACGTGTAATTCAACTGTATGTTAGCTTACAAAATTTGTGAACTCAACAAGGAGAAATCTGCTGTAATCGTGATTGCATGCAACCCCAATGAAATATGATCAAACTACTGTTTATAATAAAAAATAAGAAAAATAAAATGTCAGTTGAAGTAATATTTTGAACTTATTTAAATCTTAAAGGTTTGATCGTTTGATGTGTCCTGTTACACGTGATTATGGCTGTAGGCTTGTAGCAGATGTGAGCTGAACTTTAATACAATGTTGAAATGCTGATTAAATATCCATTAATTTATATAATCAGAATGAGTTTACATCTGTTTACATCGTATAGGATTTGTTAAGTGATAAAGGGTGATTTGGCCTGACCTAGTAAATAGAGGATGCGTGGACGTGACCTAACTAGATTATGATTTTGTGTTTGTTTCCATCTCAGCACCACTTGTCACCATAGAGGGCCAAGCCACCTCGGGTGTCTCAGGCATCTCAGCAATGACCAAGGTCCGAGCAGCTCGAGATTGCTCAACCTACCGAGGTGACATGTATCAAATTTCTAGAAGCATGTCAGTCGTCTTCGAGCTCTTCGGGATCACACCACATGACCATAGGTCTTATCCTCATCCCACCTGGATCAAACAGACACGATAGACCTTATCGGCTAGTACGTTATCCACCTCCCAGGGTGGAACGGACTCCTAACAACGCGAGCCGAGGATCTCGGATGTGTTTCGTGAGACCCATGGCAGCTCATCTATATAAGGGCATCAGCCCCTGAGACCCAGGTACGCACGATTATTTGCTTACTAGTTCTCACACTTACAAGCTTTCAGCTCGCATATAGCCAGCTACTGGCTTAAGCATCGGAGTGACCACGCTGGGTTAGCCACCCTGGGTTCTTTGAGTTTTCCTCTTCTTGCGGTTTGACCCACTGG